AGCCTGCTTTGTTTTTGTAGGAGACACGTTTGGGCATTGTGTGAATGAATGAATGAATGGCTGATGGAGGAGTTATGTCGGCGTGCATGTGTGCGTGAGCGTGGGCGTGTGCGTGAGGGCGCCCGTGTGTGTCTGTGTGTGTGGTGGGAGGCGTGTGCGTGCATGTGTGTTTGGGTCTGTGACTGCAGCGTTTATTATGATCCAGCCTCTTCGTTTGTTTTCTACTTATTTAGCGCATGATACACTTTTATCGGAGCCAACTCGCCTCTCCGCGACTTTAGGCAACAGGCAGCCGCTATAGTTTTAAATAGAAGAAGCGGTGTGTGATGTGCATGAGCTGTGGCTATGATCAGTGCAAAGCACAGCATATTGAAGCATTGAGGACGTCGCGATGGATGAGGCAAAACTTATTGAAAGCAATTGGAAAAAGGGGAGAGAGAAAAGAACTCCAACATATCCAGTGTTGTGAGATCTGTCTCTCATAAGTGCAGCTGTGTGTGTGTGTGTGTGTGTGTGTCTGTGTGTGTGTGTGGGAGTGCGCGGCGGTGGGGAGAGAGCGCCTCGGAGGTAGACGGGACAGAGCGAGAGAAAAAAGAGCGAGGTGTATGTAAAGATTAGCGTATTAACATTACGCGAAAAATAAATGGTAGATTTACGATCAGGAAACAATTATTTAAATTAATACATGAAAAACATTACACACGTTTGTTAATAATCATTGTCATTAACAAATACTTATAACCAAGGACTACAGCATATATCAATACATGTTTAACAATGTTGTAAATATATTATTCCATTGCATTTTCAATGGAAAACGGACCCGACACGCGTCGACGGACGGAACAAATAGGATTGTTTCTATTTCGTCCGTTCACGTCTTTTGCACCCTCCGTTGACGGAGGGTCCGACGTGCGTTGGACGGACGCATGCGGAGGCAGTGGAGCCACTTCCATTCACCCCCATGGAGATAACGGAGACGGAGATGAAACGGACATGTTTGGACGGATCCGTCGTCCGTTTTACGCGCCCGGTGGAGTCGGGGCCTAAGTGCCATTTCATCAGTGATTGGTTGACAGCTTACAAGTTGCGCGTAATGCTTAATGTTAGCAGAGTATCAGATCGCAAATAAAACTAGGTGGCTCTGTGTTATGAGTGCGTAGGGGAAATGAGAAGCATGGTGAGCGAGTGGTGGGGGGCGGTGCCTAAACATTCAAACATTGGTAGAAACGGGGTATAGCGCCTTTAAAAAATAGACTGATTTTGGTGTTTCGTTGTCATTAAAATGCCAGTGCATAATACATGAATGTAAAACTGTTTTTTTTTTTTTTTTTTTATAAACCAAGTCATCCTATCCTAATTTCATGATTAAACATTAGGAGTAAAGTAGATTCTGGTGGATTTGCCTTTTACACCTTTGTCACAGTGGTTGGTTCTTCAGCGGCATCTGAACTTTGGATTGCTTGTTCTGGTTCATGGCTCGACTTCAGCCACTCCTTTTCTCTCTCTCCCCGTCCGCACTAATCTGTCGGTCCGCGAACAATAGTTCAAGGGGAGGCAAGTGGGATTATCTGCACTTATTGCATTGCGATAAGCACTTGGAATTCTGACATATTTGTCTATATTTACAACACTGTACTGGTATGTAGACTGGGACCGTTGCTGCCGCTTGCATGTGTTACTTTTGGTGTGTAATTTAGGGGGATGCATCAATGCATCAATGTATTCGCGATAATAGCAAGTTTAAATATATTCATATAGCCATTTTTTTTTAATAATAAAAGGCATTATCATGTGCGAACATTCAAATACGCGCAACCTCCCGATGCCATTCCTAGGTAAAGCCAAAACACAAGAAGATGGGCCCTTTGAAAATTGTGCAACGGAAATTAGGTCTGACATTCACTTTCACACTTTATCGTGTCATACCTCTCGTGTCTTTGGAGTCGGTGGATGCTCGTAGCTTCTTGCAGAAAACTTTCCTGAAACTGCTGCAGAAATAATCATTGCAGGCGTAGTAATGTAATTCTGATCAGCATTGTGTCTAGGGATGCACCGATCCGATACTGGTATCGATATCGGCGCCGATACCAGAAAAAATACTGGATCGGATATCTGCGTAGAGAGGCGCCGTGCTGCCGATCCATTTTCTTTTCTTTATTTTAAATAAATTATATATATTTTTTAATACATACCAGGTACCGCACAATGTCTTAAAATACATTGTGCATAATGTACATATACGTATAAAATGAATTAATTAAAAGTAATTTATCAGATCTCACGTACACGTCACTTCCTCGTGGCGCTCTACAACAACAACAACACAGCATGGAGCGCAGGAAAGAATCAGCGTTGTTCACGCGGCGGTAAACTAGCGAAATACAACACGACTAAGCACCACGAGAAACAGCATGGGGAGTTTTTGCATCGAAAGGAGATTACGTGAAAACAACGAGACACAGATGACACTGACGCAGCGTCACAAAAAGCTTTTCAGCAACAACCCGAAAGTGTTGGAGTTCATCAGTTTGGGCTCGCAGCCCCATAGACCATTTGGAACCCAGGTACATGCCGTCGCCAAATACATATCTGAAATCCAGTTAAAGCTACGGTACTATTATTTATTTACATTTTCATGCAGCGTGTTTTGTTTGTTGTAAGTGTTTTTTTATTCAAACACAGTTAATATAAGTACATTTATATTCAATAAATGTATAAGGTATAATACAGTGTTGGAATGTTTAATGTGAACATTGAGCAGCTCTTTATAGTTGCATTATTGCACATTTATGTTGAATCCATTTTTATCTGGAAAGTTTAGCGCTTTAGTTCATCCACTGCTTTTGCAGTTACTTGAACAAAGAGTTCAATTATTAAATACATTTTAGCATGATCATTTCCGGTATCGGTCAATATCGGTATCGGCAGATACCCATAGCTTCTCGGTATCGGTAGTAAAAAAGCTGGATCGGTGCATCTCTAATTGTGTCATATAGAGTGAGAGTATAATAATGTAACTTATATACATTGTGAAACTGGTCAATAAAACAAGAGTAAGTTATAAAAATGGACAGATGACCACAACGTTGCATTTGTCTTATTCATTAGCAATATTTTCTGACCATTATTGCGATTGTGAAACATTTGATTAACAA